TTGCTCCGTTTCCCCTAGGTAGTTAGCTGCCGCTTGTCTTAGAGTGTGGGGTAGAAATTCCCTTCCCTTTCTCCTCACAGGGGGAAAAATACTTTGGGCAACTTTTACAGGAAAAAATACTTAAAGTCTTAAAGAGAGGATCAGATCTCACCTAGTTTCATCTGTGTTGCTTTAAAAATGCTTGGTGGGTGATTCTGACTGTCAGCAGCTTAGTGATAAGCCATATTGCTATGGCCGGTCTTTCCCCCGCTGGTTTGGAGGGCTTCCCCGGATCAAACAGAAGGGTCCCGCCCTTGCTCGTCACCCCTACAGGGTGACTTTTGACCCTTTCCAGGGTCCCCCAGCGGGACAAATTAAGATGTGAAAGATGAAGCTCATCTTCTAGCGTCCACGGCACTGCGATGGCAAACTGGACGTCTGGCATGATCTATTTTTAACAAACCCGTGCTGGCTATTAGTTATAACTTTGTTTGCTTCTAGTTGTTCACAGATCTCTTTTTTGATTATTTTTTCCAGGATCTTCCCAGATATTGAAGTTAGACTGGTCTGTCATTTCCTAGATCTGGGGTTTTTTTCCCCTTTCTTGGAGAAGGGAACCACATTAGCCCTTTTCCAATCCTCAAGTACTCCCCAGGTGATCCAGGATTTTTGAAAGATATGGTGCAATGGTTCTGAGATAACATCTGCCAGCTCCGTCAGAACTCTGGGATATAATCTGTCGGGTCCTGATGATTTATATTCGTCAAGGTCGGATAGCTGTTATGTTACCATTTTCTTGCTTATTTTAATTTTTGCAGTAGGTTTCTTTTTTTTGGTAAATCAAGGTTATCATTCTCCATACTACACTATTAGCATATGAGTATAGAGTTTGAATGATCACAAAGCTACAGTTTATATACTTTCAATATTTTTACATTATCTTGAAATGTAACTGCAGGGGTGATAACATTATAAGTAGTCCTTGCTTAACAACCACAATGGACCCCAAATTTTGCTCATATGTCATTGTGCTACTGCCAGTAGGGAAAAGAAGCGTATTTCTAAAATAATCAAGAATGACAGCAAGGACTGTGATGTGGAGGCTATTGTACATCTTGGCACTAATGATCTGTCCCAAAAAGATGTACTCTCTGTGCAGAACGATTTCCAGAGCTTGGGGCAGGAACTTAGCAGAACAGGCTGTAGGCTTACTTTTTCAGAAGTTTTACCAGTATATAAGGAGCAAAATGGAAAAGGCCAGCATATAGCACAATTCAATATGTGGCTAAAGGAGTGGTATAAAGGGGAAGGGTTTGGATATATTAGTCACGATGTCTGTAGCTGGTCCAATGAAAAAATGTACAAAAGAGATGGTTTGCATCATCAAAGAAAGGGACTGAGTTACTCGGCTATAAATTCACAGATTTTCTGGAGGAATATTTAAACTAAACAGCGGAGATAGTGAGTTAATTGATACAGAACATCCCTGTCCCCAGCAATCTAAAAACTATAGGGCTATCAGTGCATGTAACATAGATGTGTGTGCGGACAAGAATATCCACTTTGCTGTCAAGCAAAATCAAGCTTCTAATAGCGAGTATCACACAAAGTGCACTAACCAAATAGGTGGTAAGACAATAGGGGAACTCAGGCACTACACAGGTTACATAGAAAGTAAACATAGGGTCAGTCATAAAGGACTCAAATGTCTATACACCAATGCACAGAGTATGAACAGCAAACAGGGTGAACTAGAAATTCAGGTTAATGAGGGCAGATATGATATTGTTGCCATTACGGAAACATGGTGGGATGAAACCCACAAATGGAACACACAGCTAGAGGGATTTAAATTATTTAAAAGAAACAGACCAAATAAAAGAGGAGGCGTAGTTGCTCTATATGTAAGAAATAACTACATCTCTACAGAAATAGAGCAGAACAATGATGAAAACTGTCTTGAATGCATTTGGGGGGGGGATGACATTACCATAGGTGTATACTACAGGCCACCCAACCAAACAGAGGAAATAGATGAACTTTTTGCTAGTCAGCTAACTAAGGTATGTAGGAAGCACATCACAATAGTAATGGGGGACTTTAACTATCCTGAAATCAACTGGGAGACAAACTCTGCACCAAGTGGAAGATCAAATAGATTCCTTGCAAACCTAGCAAACAATTTTGTCTCCCAAAAAGTAGAGAAGGGAACTAGGGGATTAGCCATTTTGGATCTAATTCTCACTAACAGAGATGAAATGATAGAAGGTGTTCAAGCCACAGGAACCTTGGGAGGAAGTGATCATGCAATATTGGAATTCAACATTATGGAAGCACAAGCAATAGAACACAGTCAAACTAAAGTCTTGGACTTTAAGAGAGCTAATTTCAATAAACTTAGAGAGGGCTTGGGAAGGATTCCATGGATGAGAATCCTCAAGGGGAAAACAACTCAAGAAACTTGGGAAATTTTGAAAAGCGAGATAATAAAAACCCAGTCCTGCACAATACCAACAAAGAGGAAAAATAACAGCTCTCAAAAGAAACCAGCACGGCTGCATAAAGAACTCTTTGATAAATTGAAAGATAAAAAGGACAAGTATAGAAAGTGGAAAGAGGGGCAAATAACTAAGTCAGAATATCAACAAATAGCCTGAGCCTGCAAAGATGAAGTGAAGAAAGCTAAGGCTCAAAATGAACTAAGGCTTGCGACCAAAGTCAAAAATAACAAAAAAAGCTTCTTTCAACATGTAAAAAACAAGAAAAAAGTGAAGGAAATGATGGGTCCATTAGTGGGGGAAAGTGGCAAGAAGGTGACAAGCAACAGGGAGAAAGCAGAACTATTTAACTCATTTTTTGCATCTGTCTTTCCACAAAGGGAAAAAACAGACCAGCCTACCAAAAATAGTGCCATAAAAAACAGAATAGAAACGCAAGTTAAGATAGGCAAGAAAACGGTAAGTGAGCACCAGTCCAGCCTAGACGAGTTCAAATCACCAGCACCAGATGGATTACACCCCAGGGTTCTCAAGGAACTGGCAGATGTGATCTCAGAACCATTGAACTATATTTTTCAAAGATAATGGAGCACTGGGGAACTACCGGAGTATTGGAAAAGAGCTGATGTAGTTCCCATCTTCAAAAAAGGAAAAAAAATGGACCCAGGAAATTACAGACCTATCAGCCTGACCTCAATACCTGAGAAGATTCTGGAAAAGATAATCAAACAACGAATCAGCAAACACCTAGAGGCAAACAAAGTCATTACTAAAAGCCAACATGGGTTTGTCAAAAACAGATCTTGCCAGACAAATCTTATTGCATACTTTGACCATGTGACAAAATTAGTGGATCAGAGGAATGCTGTGGATATAATTTACTTGGACTTCAGTAAGGCATTTGATAAAGTAGATCACAACCTACTACTTGATAAGATAGGAAAATGTGGGTTAGACAGCATCACCACCAGATGGATCTGTAGCTGGCTGACCAGCCGTACTCAGCATGTGGTCCTCAATGGAACCGCATCTACATGGGAGAAAGGTGTAGTGGGGTGCCCCAGGACTCTGTTCTGGGCCCAGTGCTCTTCAACATCTTCATCAACGATTTGGACAAGGGGATAGATGGGGAAATCATCAAATTTGCAGACGACACCAAGCTGGCAGGAAGAGCCAACACTCCAGAAGACAGGTTAGGATACAGGAGGATCTGGACAGACTTGAACAGTGGGCGCTATTTAACAAAATGAAATTCAATGGTGAAAAAAGTAAGGTTCTACATTTAGGCAAGAAAAACCAAATGTACATGTATAGTATAGGGGGTACCTTGCTCAATAGTAGTAACTGTGAGAGGGACCTCCGAGTCCTAGTAGACAATCAAATAATAATAATATAGTGGGCTTCCCATTCAATATTTTTTATTTTTGCCGGAAATATCTTAAAATCATGGCATCTTTTAGTATCAGCAAATTCTTACTTGACATTTAATTTCATATACTTTGCATGAATGTCCTATGAATGCCTAAGGGAAACATCAACAGGAGTAAAGGCTAGGGATGAAAACTGTAAGTTCAAAGGGTCACAGGAAAAATCACAAGCCTACGTAGTATCAAAAAAGGTTGATTAAAGAAAATACTGAAGGCCTGAAAATAACATCACCAAAATTCTTTGCACTACAACTATACCACAAGGATTTCTTAAATGCTTATATTAAAACTAATCTAGAACTGATCTGATGCCATTCATGCAAAATATATGCCAGGATTTGGTGTTTTTCATGTTTTAATTGGTTATGGTTCATAGTTTGATATGATTTTATATTACTTTTAATTTTTGATTGGGAGACACCCAGAGTTGATCGAAAGACGGGCAGCTTTATAAATGTAATAAATAATTAAATAAGCAAACAAATAAATAAATTCTGTAGAACAGCAAAATGCCTCATTGATTGGTCAATGTATTGTGTATATGTATCTATATGTCTGTTTGTGTGTTTGTAATTTGATATAAAAATCATCTATCAAAATATTATAAAAAGGTAACCTTCATAAAGCAGTCTAATATCCCTGATGGCACTCTTAAACCAGACATTTTAAACAAAGTCTTCCTCAGTGCTGTGAATCTTCTGGATGATTTGTAGTAGTTTTTTACTTAAAACAAAAATAGTTACATAAAAAAACCCCACCTTATAATGCAGAGTTTAAACATCCACAAATTCAATATCATTTCGAAACAAACATGAAAGGTAAAATCACCCTGTTGTTAGACTTAGTGGTGGGATTCAGCCAGTCTTGTTAAATAAGGGAAAACTTAAGGAATTAGTGTGGGTTTATAGATGATTTACATATCCATGGAATGAACCATGGATATGTAGGATGCCTATTGGAGTACAAGGGAATAAAAGAGAACACACATAGAGTAAGTTTTGTGTCTAGGAGATATCTGAACTACTTACAGAAAGTTGAGACAAATCCCATTAAGGAGATAAAACATTGATACGTCTCAATGTTCTTTTGTTTTTAGAAATGATTGCCTTCATTATCTTGCCAATTCTTGCTGCAGTGCTGCAACAGTCTTCTGGAAGTGTAAGTTTAATAATTTTGTATCACATATAGCAGATTTAATATATATACAGTACATAACTTTCTCCTCTTACAATTAATCATTCATTAAACTGCCTAATATATGTTGGATTGCTCCATATGTGTCCTGAGCGGTAGAAATAACCTTGAGGAACAAGAGGAAGAGATGTAGCTGAGACAACAGTCAGTTAAATCTGAATCTAGCGCGTAAATATAATTTGAGAAAGCTTCTCAGACAAGACCACTCTTAGCTCTCAATAAGAAGAAGGCTGGAAAATGCATTCAGACTTTCAAGACTCTTGCTGTAACACTGTAACTGTCATGCTTCCGACTAATGAAACACTTCAAAGAACTTCCAGGCATTGTTTATTCTAAAACGTCTTTTTTATTCATGTGACAAAATGTCGGCATGGCATGAAGAGAGGATGCTAAGATCTGAAATCTCCACACACACCCCCAGCAGTTATTTTCGCTAACATTTTCCCTCCCTTATTTTGCTTTCATGATTCACGTTCTCCAATTAGTTTGAAGGGCAAAGGTTCTCTTCCATTTGCAACTCATACTTTCTTCCTTCTCCCCTCCCAGCGTCTTTTGAGTTAACTCTAAAAATACCACACAGCTCTGCATATTTTGTCAGAGCAAGAACATCCAATGTTAGCAGCTTTGACATCAACCTTGTAATCAAATGGAATTAGATTCATTACTATGGTTTCTTGGTCTGGTCGGTGAAGCTTGGTCAGTCTAACTGTTCATTTTAATTCATAAATATATTACAGGGCTGAACACACAAAGCAAAACACAATCATGCTGACAGATTTAATGAAAAGAATAATTTTAATTCCTGTGGTCTATAATAGAACTCAAGTCCCAATCTGCTGGAATAGCTCCCCCACAACTGAGATTTTAGGGATCCCTACCCTTTTAAGCCTTCGGGGAGGGCAGTGAAGACCTGGTTTTGTCCCCCTCCCCAAGTGTAGGGCTAGGATGGGGGTTCAATGAGGCTGCTTGGTCTGACATTTGGTGGGTAGGATGGCTCTCTTTTTATTCCTGTTGTGAGCCACTTAGGATCATTATATAGACATCCATATAAGTTCTTGATATAAATCCGTAAATACCATTGCAGTATTCCCTTGAAGAACAGATTATGGGGAAATGATTAATTTATTTTAACTTGGTTCTGTGATCCCCTTTTCCTATCTTATGGCTAGTCTCTTTTCAAATACAAAGACAAATAGGGCCACTGTTTGATAGCTGGGGATCAGAAGAAAGTTGCATGGAGTAGACTGGTGACAGAAGGAGATAAGGCAAAGTCATTCACTGAGTCCTGAGACCACTAGTTGCCTGTTCTGTTTAAAGTCATACAATTTTAATTGTTTTTATTTTATTTTGCTTGCTATCTTAAGGTTGATTTTGATTCTGAGTCACCCAGGAAACCAGAAATACAAAACGAGATTGTTGACTTGCACAATTCTTTAAGGAGATCTGTGAATCCAACTGCTAGCAACATGCTAAAAATGGTAAACTAAATGTAATTGTATTTGTCAGAGAGTTTGGAAGTTTAATTTTCTTTCTAGTATAAAAATTATGTGATTTACCAAATAGGATAAGAGAACATACCTACTATTTATTGACTGAGTGATTCTCTTTTTGGCCCATATGCATTTAGGTGCACCTGTATTTATATTTGAATCTGTCAGTTATAATATCACTCAGAGAAATATACAATGAAAAAAAAGATCATGAAAACATATAATCAAAGTAGGAAATTGAGAGGAAATTAAGAGGGTCTTCGGCAATATCAAGTATCTCCCCATAGCTGTATTTTTTATATCTTTTCCAATATTGGCTATTGTATCTTTAATTGCCATAATCACAGCAAAGGCTAGACTTGCAGAGTTGAACATTTCACATAAATTGCATGTCCTTTAGTTTGATATAAATCCCATGGAAATCAATAGCACGTGCTCTAGTTATTGTACCTACACTGCATACATACATACATATAGTACATACATACATAATTGTACCTACATAGCATAGGACTCACTGGAGAAGGGCCTAATGCTGGGAAAGATTGAAGGCAACAGAAGAAGGAGACAACAGAGAATGAGGTGGCTGGATGGAGTCACTGAAGCAGTAGGTGTGAACTTAAATGGACTCCAGAAGATGATAGAGGACAGGAAGGCCTGGAGGAACGTTGTCCATGGGGTGATGATGGGTCAGACACGACTTCGCAATTAACAACAACAAGCATAGTACAATACCTATGACATCTGGATTTTCCTTCTTTTACATGAAAATCAGTTAAAATACTGCCAGTTACATCCAAGCACTGTGGTTTCAATTGCCATCAAACATAAAATAATAGGGTTGGAAGGGATCTTGGTGGTCTCTGGTCCAACCGCCTGCCCATAGCAGGAGATCCTATATACCATTCTAGACAAAATGGCTGTCCAGTCTGTTCTTGAAAGGGATAATACCAGTTTTCTGTACCGTTTTGTACACTCTGATTTTTTTTTATTTTATGAAAACACTTGATTAGCTTTTTTCAAAAGTAAAACCAGTTTTACAAAGTATTTTACCCATTAAAATAACAATGCATATTGGCAAAGCAAATGGCCCAGGCAGATCTTTGATTCACATGGCAGTATTATCAGGAAACAGAATAAAAAGCCCAAATGTAATGATTTATGCACACCACTAGAGTTTTGTGAGATAGACAGCTATATATATTTGAAATATAAATATAAATAAGCAAGCTACAATAATAATGGTTGAAAGGTTCCAACCATAATTATCATCTCTTAACCTTATTTTTTCTTGGATTGGAAAATACCATTTTTTTCTTTGGCTTCTGCATGCAGGAGCATTCAACATACGCTCATTAGAGAACTCCATCTTAATCAGAATTTTAACACTGCTGGTCAGAAGGAAACATTAATGGCATTCATCAGGGTGCAACATGGGCTGCTTGCACTTGGTGTCAAAAAGGGTGGGGAGGAAGCCATACAATCCCACTCCAACTATTCAAAGGATGTTTTAGTGAATAGTGCTGTAACTTCTGAGTTCTTAACTACCAGAGTTTAAGGAAGCCAAAAGGTAGTAAAAAAGGATTAAATATTTTCTGCAATTTTAAATTATGCCTCTTTCATTGATTGATTGTTGCTGTTGATTTCTATTCCATTCAGGAATGGTATCCTGAAGCTGCTGCTAATGCAGAACGTTGGGCATACAGATGTATTGAGAGTCACAGTCCACACGATTCAAGAATTCTTGGTAAGTCGATCTAAAAGTATAGTATAGCTATAGCTGGTTAGAGGATTAATAGTATATTTCACATTAAATAGCACTTACAATCAATCTTATTCATCAGTATTAGCAGCAAGAGTAATACCTATGAATCACTCTATAGTTGCCACTCCCATGTAGATAATTAGAATAGAATAGAATAGAATAGAATAGAATAGAATAGAATAGAATAGAATAGAATAGAATAGAATAGAATATTGAGTTGGAAGGGACCTTGGAGGTCTTCTAGTCCAACCCCCTGCTCAAGCAGGAGAACCTACGCCATCTCAGACAAGTGACTATCCAGTCTCTTCTTAAAAATCTCCAGTGATGGAGCGCCCACGATTTCTGAAGGCAAGCTGATCCACTGATTAATTGTCCTCACTGTTAGGAAGTTTCTCCTTAATTCCAGGTTGCTTCTCTCTTTGATCAGTTTCCAACCATTGTTTCTTGTCCTTCCCTCTGGTGCTTTGGAGAATAATATTACCCCTCTTATTTGTGGCAGCCTCTCAAATACTGGAATACTACTATCATATCACCCCTATTTTTTCTTTTCTTTTTTCTTTTCTAATTGGGAGGTAGAACAATTGAGAAGGTAATATTTTTCTTAATTTTCCTTCCTACCCCCCCCCCGTGAGTTTTCAGGAGAAATGGTATTTGAACAGTGATTTCTTTCATTTTTTTAAATATTATATATTACTACATTTATAGCCCACCTTCCCCCCATGATGTTAAAGATATTATCCTCACCACAGCTGTTTCTGATGGTAGATGCTGAGCCCAAAGATGTTCAGAGATTTCCATGGTCAAGTGGAGAATTACCGTATTTTCCGGCGTATAAGACGACTTTCTAGGCCACAAAAACCTTCTTAAAAGTTGGGGGTCGTCTTATACGCCGAGTCGTCTTATACGCCGGAAAATACGGGTATTCTATTTTATTCCTTTACACATGTGGTTTGGTATATTACTCATCAAGTTTTCTCTCCCCCCCTCACTCAAAAAGAGTCCTTGATTGGTAGAGTGGCAGTGGGGAGAGCAATTAAACTCTAAGCTGTTTGTTTCAGCAATCTGTCCCCGTGTGTTGTGTGTGTGTGTGTTGTGTGTGTGTGCGCACGCTTCTCCTCGCTGCTTTCTGAGCTGGGAAGGATTGCATTTTCCGAGCTGGAAATCGGGGTGGGAAGGATTGGAGGGAGAAAGGAGGCATGTGTGCATGTGTGTGTGTGTGTGTTGTGTGTGTGTGTGTGCGCACGCTTCTCCTCGCTGCTTTCTGAGCTGGGAAGGATTGCATTTTCCGAGCTGGAAATCGGGTGGGAAGGAAGGATTGGAGGGAGAAAGGAGGCGTGTGTGCATGTGTGTGTGTGTGTTGTGTGTGTGTGTGTGTGTGCGCACGCTTCTCCTCGCTGCTTTCTGAGCTGGGAAGGATTGCATTTTCCGAGCTGGAAATCGGGGTGGGAAGGAAGGATTGGAGGGAGAAAGGAGGCGTGTGTGCATGTGTGTGTGTGTGCACGCTTCTCCTCGCTGCTTTCTGAGCTGGGAAGGATTGCATTTTCCGAGCTGGAAATCGGGGTGGGAAGGAAGGATTGGAGGGAGAAAGGAGGCGTGTGTGCATGTGTGTGTGTGCGCACGCTTCTCCTCACTGCTTTCTGAGCTGGGAAGGATTGCATTTTCCGAGCTGGAAATCAGGGTGGGAAGGAAGGATTGGAGGGAGAAAGGAGGCGTGTGTGCATGTGTGTGTGTGCGCACGCTTCTCCTCGCTGCTTTCTGAGCTGGGAAGGATTGCATTTTCCGAGCTGGAAATCGGGGTGGGAAGGAAGGATTGGAGGGAGAAAGGAGGCGTGTGTGCATGTGTGTGTGTGTTGTGTGTGTGTGTGTTGTGTGTGTGTGTGTGTGCGCACGCTTCTCCTCGCTGCTTTCTGAGCTGGGAAGGATTGCATTTTCCGAGCTGGAAATCGGGGTGGGAAGGAAGGATTGGAGGGAGAAAGGAGGCGTGTGTACATGTGTGTGTGTGGTGTGTGTGTTGTGTGTGTGTGTGCACGCTTCTCCTCGCTGCTTTCTGAGCTGGGAAGGATTGCATTTTCCGAGCTGGAAATCGGGGTGGGAAGGAAGGATTGGAGGGAGAAAGGAGGCGTGTGTGCATGTGTGTGTGTGTGCGCACGCTTCTCCTCGCTGCTTTCTGAGCTGGGAAGGATTGCATTTTCCGAGCTGGAAATCAGGGTGGGAGGGAAGGATTGGAGGGAGAGGGAGGAGGGAAAGGAGGCAGTAAATACTAGCCTGAAACCGGCTAGAATTCATGGGATGGAATACCAAGAGGAGGAGATCCAGTCTCCGGAGATCCCGGTGCGCAGCCCGGGGGAGTCGCATGCATGCCACGCGCACGCACACACTCAGCACTGGCATAAAAGGGTGCCTGCGGAGGAGAGAATACTGTACTCATTTGGGCTTACAGGTGGCCAATGAGAACTCAGAAAACTTCGCTCCCTTTCCTCCCTCCCTCTCCCCTTCTTCAGCGAAAGGATGTATTAGCTTGTCCATTTTTTTCCCTAGGGTATATAAGACGACAGGGAGGGCTGGGCAGGCAGGGAGAGCTGACCCACCCAATCCAACCAGGCTTTGTATACAACAACAAGCCAATCACCGGTAAGGTACATCGCTTGCCAGTGATAAGGTATATCGCTTGCCATGATTGGCTGGTTGTTGTATACTGGGTACGTACCGGTACAGTACAGCACCAGTATCTGTACCAGTTCATACAGTAGAGCACCAGTACATACAGTACTGTATACAAATGTCCAACAGTCAAGATGCGATCATGGCTCCACCAGCAAGAAGAAGGAAATATGAAGCCAGTTTCAAACTTAAAGTTGTAAACTTTGCCATGGAACATAATAACTGCGCTGCTGCAAGACAATATGGAGTAACAGAAAAGATGGTTCGGGACTGGAAAGCAAATGAAAAAGCGTTAAAGAGTATGGCAAGGGGTAAGTGTGCATTAAGAAGAGGCACCCCACATTGGCCAGAACTTGAAAAACATGTAGCAGACATGGTGAATGAGCATCGTCAAAATGGTTATGTAGTGACACGAAATAAAATATGTTTGTCTGCACTTCAGTGGGCCAAATCTAACCCAGATCACAGCAACAGATTTAAGGCCACAGTATCTTGGTGTACTAGATTCTTGAAAAGACATAATATGGTACTGAGGCAAAAGACAAAAATGGCACACAAATTACCTGCAGATCTTGATAGCAAAGTAATTAGTTTCCATCGATACGTAATACAACAGCGCATTAAACATGGCTATGCGTTAAGTAGTATTGGAAATATGGATGAAACTCCAATGAATTTTGATATGGTTGGAAATAAAACTGTCCATCAAAAAGGTGAAAAAACAATTTTAATTAAAACAACAGGACATGAGAAGTCCAGTTTTACAGTGGTACTAGGATGCACAGCTGATGGTGCCAAACTGAGACCAATGATTATTTTTAAAAGAAAAACAATGCCGAAACTCAAGTTCCCTGTTGGTTGTTTTGTACATGTGAATGAAAAAGGCTGGATGGATGAAGAAGGGGTAAAGCTATGGCTTGATAATGTATGGAGCAGGCGACCAGGTGGACTTCTTCAAAAACGTAGTCTACTGGTGTGGGATATGTTCAGGGCTCATTTAACTCCCAGCACCAAGCAAAGGCTTGCAAGAATAAACACAGATGCGGCAGTTATTCCTGCAGGATTGACATCGTTGGTACAGCCACTGGATATGTGCCTAAACAAGCCATTTAAAGATCGCATTCGAGAACAGTGGAATGAATGGATGGTTAGCGGCGAAAAGTCATTCACAAAAGGAGGAAACATGCGTGCTCCACAGTTGGATGTTTTGTGCAAGTTTGTCATAAAAGCCTGGAATGATATTGATGCAGAAACAGTAATCAAGTCTTTCAAGAAGTGTGGCATATCAAATTCATTAGATGGTATGGAGGATGACTACTTGTGGCAAGATGAAGAGGAAGCTGAAGCTGAGACCACACCATCTGATACGGAATTCGATCCATATGATGACTGCCTTACAAATGTACCACAAGATGTCATTGATATTTTTATGATATCAGATGATGAACAGGATGATTTTGAAGGCTTTTAAAGGGAAACTGTCACACAAGCAAAACCTGTAAAAATAGCTTGCAGTTATGATGGGCGTTGCTGACTTGTCAGGGACTTGCCCGGCACTTGCTCTTTCTATTGTTTTTTATCTTCCTCCTATCATCATCAGTTCAGTTTGGTTGACAGCTTAGAAAACAAACAGCATGGCAGCTCCCATGGTTTTATTGTCTTATCCTTCCTTTCAGTTTTAGAGTGAATTAGGAAAAGTTTAATCCACTTGCACTGTTTTATGTTTATATGTTTGATGACAGCCTTATGTTTATAAATGACAGTTTTTCTGCTAAGTACCTGCATGTCATAAGCATTTGAATTAAAATTACCATATTGAAATCAAATCTGATGTTTTTTAATTTTTATTTGGTGTGCGTTGGAAGAGGGGTAGTCTTATACGGTGAGTATAGCCCAAACTCTATATTTTAACTGGAAAAGTTGGGGGTCGTCTTATACGCCCAGTCGTCTTATACGCCGGAAAATACGGTAATCGTGGTGGGGTGTACCACTGTGCTGCTAATTTTGTATGAGAATCAAGGTAGGGTATTTTTTTCTTTCTTCAATTCAACCCTTTTCATCTGAAATATGCATCAAGTTAGATGATTTTGCATGTTTCACCTCAAATAAGTACTGATAAGTTTCTTATCTTGTGGAGTCTCTAGCTATATCTTTTAAGCTAATTGAACATACATTTCACTTTTTTTGAAGGCTTCTATCTCAAGATCAGTACCTATGCCACTGTCAAACATTTCTGTGCCAAAATCAACAATCTCACGTGTGCCGTACAGTGTAGAAGGAATAAGTCCCGAATTAGAAAAAGTGTTTATCAGAGATAACAGTGGAAAGGAGGAAGTATCAAAGGTAAGGGAATGCTGTGAGTGGCTATTATAAAAGACATGTTCTAGGAATGTAATCTATTCATTTAGTTTCATTTTTCTAATCATATATTCCAATCTTATCTGACAAAGCATTTTATGTAATCTCAATAATGAGATTAAAACAATGTAAACTATGCATATATCCAGGAATAACCAAAATACATTTAGCCTCCATGAGAGACAGCAGATCCCAAGGACCAGTTGAAGCAACTAGATCTTAATTGCTTTATGGAAAATTCAAGGCCAGCCTAATGCATTGACCTACCTAAAGAACTAATTTTACATGAAGACTCTAGATGGTTTTCATACCCATATGTGTAAAGTGACTAATACAAGAATTTGTATTTTTTTTACTTTAAAATATATTGATGATAATACAGCAATCCAATCAATAGTAATGGTACAAAGATTTTTTTAAAAAAATGAAATGAAATGAAATAAAAATTCTTACATATATATTCATGCATAAGTCAAGAATGCTTCTAAAATTTGAGTTCAGTTTATCCATGGATGGGCTAGTTTGCATATATACCCACACACACACAAATATACCAACATGCATACAGATACACTTTTTTTAAAAAAAAGTACTCATATTTCCTTTCACATGTAAGACTATCTGCAAATAAGCAAACCCTGAAAATTTTAACCAAAAATACCATGAAAAATGTGGGTTGACTTATCCAGGGATGGGCTTATACACAAGTATTAATGGTAGGCTGTTAAGAATCTTATGAGGCAGTTCTATTCATTGTTTTAAATTTTCTTTTTCCAGAAAATATGTTACAGAACAGGATTGCTATGTTATAACATCTGACAAAATTAAAGGATAATTGTTTGTTGTTCAAAAGTATTATCTTATAAAATTGATGTTTGTTGCTGGATGTTTAAAGCTTAATTCTCAAGGACACTAAGCAATTTTATTTTGATTGGCAGCACAAGAGGAGAAATTATACTGATTTCATTGGATTTTCCATATTTTTAGAGGGTTACTGGATATATTTTCTTTTAATTTTGGAAATAATAGAAAAATCAGAACTGAAGATCTTTGTTGATATGGCTCAAACATCCTATTCTACAGTATTTAATTTCAACAGAACAGATAGTCCTCAATTTATGACCATTAGCAATTGTTTGAAATTATGATAGTGCTGAAAAAAGGCACTTACAACCCCTACACAATGTTCTGACTGTTGTAGCACCCTGATGGTCATATAATCAAAATTCAAGCACATGACAATCTTATGACCTATAACCATGGAAGTGCTGTAAGTTTCCCCTCCCATACCATGGACCAGAAAGCCTCAACTGCCTAGGCCCAGCAGCTTACAGTCTACTCTAAGAAATCTTGCCTTCTCTCTTCCCCTCCCCTTTAAAACATCTTCCCAATCTGTACTGCTCCCCTGCAAGCCATTTTTCATCTGCAAGCCATCTATCTTGCACTCTCAAGCAGCTCCAGGCACCATTCCAATGTGTACTACCACTACTGCACCCCCTCCCTGATTTGTGCAAAGTTTCTTGGGCACACCCACATCCCCTTTCTAACTTGTGCAGCACCTATTGTGTACACCTATGTACCATTCCCAGTCTGCATCCTTTCTTCCTCTACATGGCAACATCCATTTATCTGCCTGCTGGCCTTGGCCTTGCAGTCCTGCTGGTTTTTTCACTGACTTTCTTTCTGTAAGCTTCCCACAAGCAAAATAATTGGGAAAAATGGTAGAATTGTAAAGGGAAAGGAAGGACATGATGGAGGGAGTTAGGGAGGGAGGGAGAGAGGGAAAGGAAGGAAGGAAGGAAGGAAGGAAGGAAGGAAGGAAGGAAGGAAGGAAGGAAGGAAGGAAGGAAGGAAGGAAAAAGAAAGAAAGGTGGAAGAAAAGGAGGAACAGTTTGGGAAGGAAGCAAGAAAGGAAGGAAACAAGGCAGATTTCTCATGCTATCTAAATTCTCAAAAGGAAACTCAATGGAGAAGGTAGCAGGAAGTTGAAAATTGTTCCTGCCTCTATTGCTTTTTGCTCAGAGGTGATAGTTTTTCTATTGGTTGCAGTAAGACAGATAAGATCCTAGAAAACAGGAAAACATTTGAATATCTTCATATGGTGGTAAATATGCCAGAAAATTGCTTTGAAGAAAACTGGGAGATCATGAATTCTATTCCTACTTTAAAGACAAAGTTAGCTATATGACTTTGAGCCAGTCACTCTCAGCCCTGGGAAGCAGACAGCGGTAAACAATTCTGAAATCTGCCAAAAAAACCTGAAGTGACTTGTCACCAGAAATCAAGATCATGTGAAGTGTCAGTACCGCTTTATACCATGTTTTCCTGAAAGTAAGACCTACCCCCAAATAAGCCCTAGTTTTGGGGCGAGGCGCACACCTAAAAATCAAGCTAGGGCAGGGATGGGAGTGGAGCTTACCATTGCAGCCAGGCCTCCCATGAATCGACACTTGTCTTGCCAGCCCACTTTTTTAGCAGCCAAAGAAGCAGCTTATTCTGCAGCTGAGAATGGAACTCTGGCCTGCATTTCTCAATCAGAGGATTTTCCAGAAAGCTAAGAACCAAGCTACGGATTCAATATTTTCGGGAAACATGTTAATGCTTTGGTAAGACCACATTTGGATTACTGCATTCAGTTTTGGTTGCCACAATATAAAAAAGATGTTGAGATTCTAGAAAGAGTGCAGAGAAGAGCAACAAAGATGATTAGGGGACATACGAAGAATGGTTGCAGGAATTGGATATGTCTAGTTTAATGAAAAGACAGGGTCACATCATAGCAGTGTTTCAGTATCTAAGAGGTTTCTACAGAGAAGAGGAAGGGTCAAGCTATTCTCCAAAGCACTGTATTAGAACAAGAAGCAACAGATGGAAACTAATCAAGGAGAGAAGCAACCTAGAACTAAGGAGAAATTTCCTGACGGTTAGAACAATTAATCAGTGGAACAACCTGCCTCCATAAGCTGTGAATGCTCCAGCACTGGAAGTTTTTAAGAAGAGACTGGACAGCCATTTGTCTGAAATGGTTCAGGGTTTCCTGTCTGAGCAGGGGGTTGGACTAGAAGACCTCCAAGATCCCTTCCAACTCTATTATCATTCATATGTGCTAACACTGACTCGAAGCTATCCTTTCCCCAAAAAATCCAAAACAAAAAACAGCACTCACAAGAATATAGATTATTTTTACTTTGCCCAATTAAAACTTAATAAATTATGCACAACAAAGTTTGTCTTCTACACAGTTACAAGTTCTTACGTAATCTTATAAAATAGGGCTTTATGTCTTTTATTTCTGAGAATGCTCCAGCGTCTTTGTATTGTTAAGACATTTTTAAATAAAGTAGAAAAATATAGAAAGGTATAATGATGATGAAGATGATGATAAAAGTTGGAAGGGACTTTGGAGGTCATCTAGTCCAACTCCCTGCTTAGGCAGGAAACCCTATACCCGTGGTGGCAAACCTATGGCATGCATGCCACAGGCTGCACGCAGAGCCATCCCTGTGGCTGTGCACTCCATTGCCCCAGAGGGACATGGGCCGGGCTACTCCCCTCTGCCTCTCCATGTGTGCCAGCGCTCTCGCTTTCTTTCTCTCTGCACTGGGAGTCGGAGCAGCTGCAAGAGCTGGGCGGATCCAGGCTGGATGGTGGAGGCAGCGCTTTTTTTGTCATACAACGCATGGAACGGTGTTCTGGCACCTTTTTTTGAACAGGAACTGCCAGCGCGAATCTAGGCATGCCTGCAAAGCGATTTTGCAGACCGCCAGCAGCCTGAGCCAGGCTCCAGAGGCCTGGAAAAGGCCTCTGCCACCCGGATCTATGGCTGCAGAGTGATTTCATGCCCCCCCATGGCCAATCCAGGCTCTGGAGGCCTTTTCCAAGCCTCTGGAGCTTGGATCCATGGCCGCCGAGCGATTTTGCAGCCCCCCCAGTGGCCCGATCCGGGCTCCGGAGGCCTTTTCCAGACCTCCGGAGCCCGAATCCATAGCCACAGAGGCCTGTGGACCGTTTTTTTTGCCTATTGGTATGGAATCACTCGTCTTGGTTGCGCTGAGCTTACAAACAGGTGGCCGTACCATTTGCTGAAAAAGGGGTGGGTGGATGGTGCGATCTGAAATACTTCATTTTAAGCTGTGTTATTGGAAGCCTTACATGTTGCGGTTCTAAAGCGGAGGCCCTTTCTCTCTGTTCCATCAGTCCAGTTTATTAAACTAAGTATGTATATCTTTTTTTTTTACTCTTTCTTATGCTACATAGCCTTCTTCCATTCTTGTAATATGCTGTATCTCCATAGCATTCGCAAAATTATCTCCATAACGTTCCCTCTTTTGTGAATGCCCCATTATTTTAAATGTATCCCTCTTTCCCCAACTGTCCTCCCTCCCTTCCTTTCATCTGTCACCAAATTTCCTTTCTGCACCTCTGTTCTTTTCATCCTATTTCATTCCTCATCAGTTCCCTTTTCATACTTGTATTTGTACACAAATAGCAACAGGTTGTCAACCATTTATGCAGGTTCAGACCTTATTGCCACAAAGTGTGTGCATACATGAACAAGCACACACATGCTTTATTTTTATCTTGCATGGAAACATTTGTTGTTCCATCAGAGATGGAACATAGCATTGTTTACAGGATTGATGGGTAACTGCCTTTACTGCACATATTTTTTCAACATATTATAGAAACCATATATTGTCAACAACAACAACAAAAGAAAATGCCTGCATGTTTATGTGTGTTTTTGCATTCATCAGATACTACTGTAGCTTTTGTAATTTTCACCTATTTCTTCCCATTCTCTAAAGAGAATAACATTTTTGACAAAGTGTATACATACCATGTCATTGGAATATGAAGCACAGTGCAATGCATTGTACATTTTATATGGATTCAGATAGTTTTACCTCAGGCCAAAGGAATAAACATCACACACGGCACATAAACAACATTCCTTCCTTCCTAGACTAATTGAACCCTAGTCA